AAATAGAAGCTCTAACCGACCCCCCCCCCCCCCCCTCTCATTCACCGGCTGGCTGAGTCGATGTGAAATTTTCGGCACGATTTTCAAATTTTAACCCCCCCCCCCCCTCGAAAAATTCCTTCATACGCCCCTGTCATGTAGATCCTCAAGTAGAGCTCATCAATACATAGACTATTATATTCAGATCAAGATCGACAAATCTATCGTTTTCATGGCCTCTTTTACTTTTTTACATTTACTAATTGCCATCACTATCCAACTGTCGGTCATTCTAGTAGATCCTATTCCAATATCAAATATGTATAGTCTATAGGATCTAGACCTATTCATATTTCCTGAGACATAAGTCTCATTTTACTGTAAATTTGGTTAACTTCTACCTAAGACACAAGGCAATCAGTCTATTTAAAATGCACACACATTTAAACATACGGGACTAGATCTAGAGATCTAGGCCTACATTTACTAAAGCTTGACCCGGCCCACTCTCATGCATTACGTCGTATTATCAGCTTTATTCGTCATAAAAATGAATAAACACAAACTGGTTTCTTACCGTACAAACGATACTGGAGTGAAAGAAAATCACTGCAGAATAGCGGATTATGTACAAGATTAAGATGTTGCTTCGATAAGAATCCCGTTGTTTGCAACGGGACAGCTGATCACGGCGAAGGTAAAAATGTACTAGAATTATGTCCCGGCATGCTTTGCGATAAAACAACCGTGAAGACACGGATAATTATCTGGCGGCCGCCAGATAATTAAGTGGCGGCCGCCAGATAATTAACTGGCGGCCGCCAGATAATTTCTCTTAAATTTATTTCGTAGGTGGCACTAATGGGCTTCCGTACATAACACTTACTTTATCAGAAGTCTCTAAGCGCTGTACAATAATGCAGCATAATTACCCTGGCTTTAGCAGTGCAGCTGAACACGCGCGCTGCGTTTCAAGGAACAAATTCCTACCAGGTACCCATTTACTTCACCTGGGTGGAGTGTGGCAAATGTAGATCAATGTCTTGCCAAAGGACATTAGTGCCGCAGCGGGACTCGAACCGCGGACCTAGTGTTCGACAGTCCGGCGACGTATCCACTCGACTACAACACCTCTACTAAAACAGAGGGGAGATGCAAAAGTGGAGGAGTTGAGTTGAGATTTTATTTTTTGTTTTATGTATTAGGCAACGTTTCATGAAATTTGTAATCAATATTCAGGGAGGGCTATGTCTAACCTCCCTGCAAATAACAAGTTACACTAACTTTTATAAGCTTGTGAAATTGTTGCATTTGATTGGCTGAGAGCAAATACGCCATAGAAATTTAGCATTAATTAATTTGTACATTATGGGGGGAGAACTCATTTTTGGGGGGACCCTCGAATATTTGAAAATCGCACCCCCCCCCCCCCCTTGAGCGCCAGTTGAGGGGGCCCATCTTCTCAAAAGGGTAAAATTAACGTGTTTTAACACGTTTTTTTCCCCAGAGGAGGGGGCCCGGGCACCCCGGGCCTCCCCCTGGATCCGCCACTGTGTTGAATGGCATTTCCCGTTGATATCATAATTATTGTGCGTCGAAATTCGAATTACAAGCATTTCAGTGGAAATGACAAAAATGATGTAATATAAATTCATATCAGAATATTTGTAAACACAACAAGAAGTAGACAAAACCATAAAGAAAAATAAGTTTCATAAAGATTTTGTATAAGAAATCTGATGGGTGAGAACAAATTTATAGGTTATTGGTATGCACATTATTTTCAACGTTATTCCAGTATTATAAAAGAAAAGATTTTTTTTTTGTTCCTCTTCTCTCTCTCTCTCTCTCTCTCTCTCTTTCTCTCTCTTTCTCTCTCTTTCTTGTCGGCCGTGAAGAAGTGAACAGCGCCCCCACCAAATACTGGTTGTTGCCACGCCCTTCTATTTGGGTTATTGGTAGATTGGTATATTTATTGGAAAAGGGACATTTTGCATTTTGACAAAATGTTAGCCTATCAATCACACATTGATGACAAAATTAGGGGCTATGTATAATCATGGTAATAAGATAACTATGTTCATTTATCACTTACTGTGCCATAGGCGCTTAAACAGTCTTGTTGCCGCCTGATAAGTAAGTCGTTTTCCTCACCTTATTCTAGTGTATAGCATGATTATGAATTAATACTAAAACTAAACATTATTCATTTCTCATGTCGATCGTGGGTTGTTGTTGTTTTTTGTTTTGTTTTGTTTTGTTTTTGCATTATAAGGCGTGAAAAGGATGAAATCAAATAATTGCCGGGAACAAACCCATAATATATTCCGCTACCAGAGGAGCAATAAACTTCTCATCCGTAAACTGTAAATTGCCCTTTCGACTTTTTAAAAATCATATCTAGTCAGTAGTCACTAAGAAAGAGAATGGCGAAGAATCACTTATATGGCCATGGCACTCTGATAGTGCTTGAGCGTAGTAATTACCCCGAAACAAATCTCCATTGGTCATCGCTGAATGCGTAAAGGTCCCCCTTTTGTTATACGGAACAGCCTAATTTAAATTGTCATTACTCTCTACATTCAGACGACAGGTTGTAATATAGGCCTTTATGAAATTCTTCATGATGGCTTTAAAAAAAATATATATCGAGTCTAACTACATGCTAAATCAAACACCGACAACACCAACAACAACTCATTATAACCAACACTATAACATGAATCTCAAAGTTGAATGTTTACGATCGAGAAACATTTTTAGTCGCTGATAATTATTATATTGTCAGGCAATTAAAATGTTTATTATTATTATTATTATTATTATCACATATAATATTAATATTATTATTATTATTATTATTATTACCATCATTACTATCACTATCATTCATAATGAACATTAAAGGGAAAAGAGAATAAAAGAAATATACAAATACAAAAATATACGACTAAACTAAGCAATTCAAAACTGCTGATTTTATTTACAAATGTCGTAGCACTATTAAAACACCATTGTCTTTCCTTACGGTGTATTTTCATTAAATAATTCAAAATATGTACATCATTGTTTTCGATTGTGAAAAAGGTTACAATTAATAGTCTTTAAAGATAGTATACACAAGTTTGTTTTAACTTAACATAACACAGTGGACCAAAGGCAGAGTTATCTGATTGTGCTTTCAGGTTGTTTGGACCCCAATGCACACAATGTATGCAAGCGAGTTACGATAATGGGGCCTTTTTTTAGCCCACCTGTAGGATGATATAAAAATGAAGAAAAAAAAAAATCATATCCCCCTTTTTTTGTTGGGGGGGGGGGGGGGGTATAGTATTTTTTTTACTCGAATATAGGCCTACATTTAAGCACGTATTAATTATTCACTCTCGAATAGTAAATTGACTATTCGGTGAAAAATGCATTCAGTGTCTTATTAGTAAAATGGTGTCAGATTGTTTTGAAGTACCATAAAAGCAAAAAAGATTACTGTACTCGTATATTATATTTAAACAAAACATGTGTCTTATGCGTACAAATGAGTATAACAAGAAAAACAAAAATATTACAACGTTATGTAGCTGGAAACTGGAGCACTAACAGCGACAAATCAAACCAAAAAATGAAAGTTTCAATATCATGGAAAGAAAAGGATAAACACCATTATTATAACATATTACAACACTCAAAATTGATCACTTATAGATACGGCACTGATTTTTCTTTTTTTTTAATTAGCTTTTGAAATCATATTTGGCAATGTCATTGATAACAACAGAAATATCATAAGGCACTATAATACAATAGAATACAAAACAATTTATATCTCGTGTTAAGTGCTATTCATACTGGCAGATCCCAAATCGCACATCACGCATCTATCTTAGTAACAATATCTTGTACTTTAATTTGGAAACACTCATTTATATGTATACAATTCTCTTTATTTCTGAGTTCACTAAAGATAAAGAATAATACGTACGGTCACAGAAATACAGCATTCCTTTGAATCTTATGATGTGTAATTTGAAATTTTGTCCTATTTGCTACTTTATGAAACCGGTCGATTCTTCCTCGCATTTAATGTTTCCATGTAATCCATAAACCTGTAATCTTTCATAATTTTACACGTATAAATAAGATTTATATTATCGTATTATTCTGGTGTATACTAAAATCAAAATGAAGAGCCACTTATTTTTCCTTATGATAATTGTTGAGTTGAGCTGAGGCCTATAAGTTGTCTCTTTATACAATGGAACCAATATGTGGCTCTCAACTTGTAGATTAGAAAGGGACGATTGCGCCCATGCAGAACAATCATCGAGCGTATATACTTGGCAATAAATAATGTTATATACCTCATTTTAAGATTCTTTACTAATCCTGTCTTCTGATTGGTTGAAAATGCAGTCATGTTCTTAACCATGCCCGCTAATTGAAATTCATAGTCATTTTTCCCGGCTCTACCGGTTTATATCCATTTTCATAGCACTTTTTCCATGGCTGTGAAACGTGACGTCATTTTGCTGCGATCCCCATTTTGGTTTACGTGTAACCGTATAAGTTTGTTTTGTGCGATGACCGATGCGCAATACCGTTAACGGTGTTTGAGTGCAATTCGATTTTGGTCGCTGCATTCAGGCGACGAATCTACCAATCCACGCAGCGCAGACGACGATCGCCATTTTGTGTACTAGTCTCGATCGCAAAATCAGTCTGTGTAAATATGTTGCGAATTTGTGAATTTATAAAGTTACTGTTCATGTTCTACTGTTCTACTGGAGCACAGCTTGTTGGTGATATCATCCTGTACACAAGTTATTGTTGGTGTTAATATTCATGACTTCAAAGAGATGGAAACCTAAATGGGTGAGTCAACATTTTCCTTTTTTCGGTATATAAAATATATATTGACTGCTTTTAATATTCGAGGCATAGTGGTTTCTATAGGGTCTCGGGAAACTCACAACCTGCTATGACCCCGCGGCGCAAGCGCCTTGGGGTCATAGCAGGTTGTGAGTTTCCCTTGACCCTATAGAAACCACTATGCCTCTCAAAGCAGTCAATATATCCTTAATATAAAACCTTTTAATCATGATTTATAACGATGAATGTTATTGCTTTATCAATCACAGCAAAAGAACTACGATGCATGATAAGACGATCTACACTATGGCCACCACATGGACATACATGTACGTTGAAAGGAAGATAACGTTAATAAGGAATAGTATAGTCATGTAAGACAATCCTATATGATTTGCAATATGGACTGATTGTTCATCTTTTTAATGTCTTTGTAAAGAGTTTCAGAGATAGGTGTCACCCGAGATTGTATCCATTACAAGTCTGTATCGTTTGAACTATTCTACACGTTTCGCAGTTGACGACGCAGCACCAGTGAAACCGACACCTGCAATTCTCGCGCTTCTCCGCCAGCACTTCGTGGTATCCTCTTCCACAACACATGATGTCGCATCCTCCGACGTCCATTGATGTGCTGTTACATCGTCGCCCTTCGGTGCCGAGCGAACCCGATTTACGATCAGGCTCGCAGAAGTCGTGGGACTCCATGGAATAGACCAGGTCTTTGATGGTGGGCTGTTTGACCGTTTCGTCTTCGGGGATGAGATTCTCGCCGCTGTTGCCGCCGGTGACTTTGACGGCGCCGTCGAAATAGGATTTGAGGCGGTTGCCGACGTCACGAAATGTTGGCATTTTCTTCCAGCAGGTCTTGAGAGTACAGGAGCCCGAAAGGCCATGGCATTTACATTCACGTCGCATGTGCTTGGCGATGGACTGTGAATGGGAAGAGCGAAAAGGAAAACAAGAATACATAGACTAAAATGTTATTTCATGAGAAATATCAAAGAGACAGAGAATGAAAGGTGAAGAATAGTGTTCAAAAAGATAAATGACCCAATAACCTCATCAAGCCATTCTTAAACATCCATCCTGTCTACCTAATCGCGACGGCCTTCCCTATTAGAGAGTTCGCCGGTTCTATTTCTAAGATTTTACTGGAGAAGTCGATTGGCAGCTTCAAATAAATTTCCTGAAAATTTACGACGCAATCTATTCATGAGCGTGTCACATTGACAGGCCTGAAGCTCTTTATTTTTAATTTAGTGCCCCAAGTTACTCGCTCATCACCTGGACCCCCCCCCCCCTCACTGCTTAACCCAAAACACAACATACATATGCGAACACATCCACAACATCATAAAGCAGCATATTCATACAACTTTTAGGCTCTTAGACATCATTTAAATAATAAACTGATTGAGAACAGCATTTGAAAAAATGTAGAAAATCTGAAATTTAAGGTTACTAGACATATTTTTACTGTTTGGTACTATTTTCATAACAGACAGGTTTTGGATATGTTGTATGCAAATTAAGGGGTCTAAAATAACTAAAATTAAAAACAAGATTTTGAAGGATAAAGAAAAGTAACAGAAATGCGGATAGCGGTCATTGCATTTACTTTTCAAGATGTGGTTTTTCAGTGATTTTGGTCTTAATAATTATAATAATGTAAAAACACTTTATAAGTAAAGAAACTGTGATTTTCTTGAAATACCAATTTAAATATGATTACAATCAAAGTCATGAAGAGCTAGTCCTATAAAACATGGAATAATGCCGCCACGTGAATAATAAGACGACATCAAAAGAGATGTGATGAAATAGGGGTGGGGGCGGGGTGGTGACCCAATCATTTTCTCCGAGCTTTATGTCGTCAAACATTATATGGTTAGGGTTGCAACTGAATTTGTTGTTGTTTATTTTAGGGTTAGGATGAAAATAGTACACAGGTTCTGTTCCCGAGTTGAGGGTGGGAATTCAGATAGTTCAGGGAAATGAATGCGGAGCAGTTATCGCAAGAATATAAGTGCGACCGAAACGGGGGGGGGGGGACCAATATCGGAAGCAGCGTTGTGTCTGAACGCTGTGAAGTTTTTGAGGTCAGGCCATGGATATATTTTCATCTCAATTTCGATGGCGTCGCTAACTTTACACAAACATGTCGACGGACCGTGAAATGTCGCCATAAATCGTCTGCACCGTGAAATCGTGGCCAAGTGACACATTCAACTTTTTCCCATTTTGGTAGACCTTACCGTCTATCGAAATGAAGTATGAATTTAGGTAATGGTTCTTATTTTGATATTACAAATAAACCCGAATCGATGCGATATTCATCTTCTTTGTGATTAATGACACTTCTCTTTGATAAGCTTATTTTTGTTATAACTGTCGATTGATCAAGGTAATGATGATGAAATTATTGATTGAGCTAATCACAAAAACATGAGCACTATGAATTAACATGATGAAAGTGAATTCATACATTTTTAGTATAATATTTTTCTTTTATTTATTAAAATAAAATATATTCAACTTAATTCTCAAAGCGTAGTTTTTGCATAAACGCCAATGCCACTAAAGTATTTTGGTCACCGACCGGATTGGTGCAACGACGTCAAACTTTGAGAGGGGCTTATCATGAAGAGTAGGCTCATATTTGCTGAAAGATCGTTTACCGTGTGACAAAATCTCTCTTAATCTCTATAGTAAGGTGTGTGTGTGTGGGGGGGGGGGGCTTGGGGGAGTAGCCCAACTGTAAAACTATTCCTACCAATCTTCCAGCCTCGTTGTTATGCAAAGTCACCAGCGTTCCTATATCGCTCCTTCGCTTCATGTGTGCATCGACGAACTCCTTGGACTTGGTGTATCCATACTCGACGTTATCACCACACCCTCCCCACACCCAGGCTTCGTTGGTATCCAGTTCGTTCCGCCCACTCGGTAGGTTGGCGCAACCGCACTGGTGTAGCTTGCCCATACTGCAGGCCTGGGTTGCCGCGTAGGTTACCCCCGCTGTGGTGATCGCGTTCACGAATGCTGTCTGTCTCGTATCTGAAAAATTAGGAAGGTAAAAATGGAATTTGATTTAAGTTAAATAATTTCCTCCATGGAAAAGGTAGATAGTTGTGTGGTGTTTAAAAAAGCTGCTCTTATATCTGAATATTCAACACAAGAATCCAAAACATATTTGAACACATCGGAAAATAACTTTTATTCTCTCACTGGCCCTCATCGTTGACAGGTCTAAACGTTACGAGAAATAAGAGAGGGAGAAACAAATGAGAGGGGCATTGCACTTTTTGTCCATCCATCGATGTCGTAATTGAAACATTTTCTGCGTAACACTCAAAATCAGAGTGACAACTCGTTGACCTACACACCCTCGCACCGATTAGTGATTGGGATTTGCTCCAACTTGGGTGATGACAACCACAGAATGATGAGAAAAACGGTGAATTCTTTTCTTTCTCACACACTCTCCTACTCTTCCTTCTTTGTTCTTCTCCTCGTATTCTCCATCTTAACTTTGCTTTCGCCATGTGATAACTTTTCATCTCCAATCACTCTTCCATCCAATCCTCTTACCTGAAAGACTGCGGTCCCTTATTTTATCTTTTTCATTTCCCCATTTTTCTCGCTCTCGCACCATCGGTCTCACAGTGAGGCAAGTCGATGCTTGATGTATGCCCTTTTCAACTTGGCCTTAGAGTAAACATACCTTTTTATGTGAATGAAAACTAAACCCAAACCCCTAAAATAACCAATATGATATATCGCCTTCTCTCTTAAATAAAAAATAGCTAGCTTGTCACCCATTGCCATCATCTCATTTCAGTTTACATATCGACCACATCTAAATTCTAGTACATGTACATCTGATTACTAGAGTCTGGACCAGATAAAATATCAAGTAAATTGAAATGGTATAAAAAATTATGTCCATTCATGTTCATAATTCTATAATACAATTTCCCTCTTTTTTCTCAGTTCAATTCATAATATTATTTTATATCCTTCTATTTGGTGACATAATTATATAACTTGCCTTGGCCTTCCCCACGTACTCTCTGTTGTCGACGCCTTCGCCCATTTTATGTTCGTTTGCTTCTCTGTTTTTCCCACTAAACTATACTCCATCATGTCCTGCTTGATCCTAACCCCCATGCCCCTACACCCACCTCTTACTCCTTTTAAACAAAATCCACAGAAAAATGAAAATCAAACTTATCTTTCGGTAATCTATAGATGTTCCAACCTAGGTCAACATTATTTTTTATCACGTTCTCCATCGTTTCACATTCATTTTCTGCTATAATGTTTTAACGAAACCACAGACGAGTGGTGACAGTAAGAATTCACACCCCCCAAAGTGACTTTAATCCATTAATTAGCATTGTGGTCCCCGAAACACAAATTGTGGTCTTAATTACAACATGGGATCTATCAACAAGACCCTGATATAACCATGGACTCTGAGTAGGTCTATAACAGTGGCCCATTTTCCTCCCGTGTTCCACACTACCACATAGAGTATCTTGAACGCCAATAAGCTATTACACACGGAGTTCGATAAATCAGGGGAAAATAACCATACAGGCCCATTCTGTACTCATGATTATGAAACATTCCATCTTTGCTCATTTATTTGGCGAATATAAGAAAACTATTTTGATCTCTGAGATCTTCTAGCTAAAAAAGTGTCATTATTTTGGAGGCGTGTTGGTCCATCATCCGCTCCCGTTGAAAAATATTATGGCATCGCTCATGCATTAAAGTCTTTTATGATACAATACAGTTTAGATCATATTCATAGAAGATCTTTTGTCTCAAACAAAGACAGAGAGACAGAACAGAGACGGAGAGAGAGAGAGAGAGAGAGAGAGAGAGAGAGAGAGAGAGAGAGAGAGAGAGAGAGAGAGAACAGAAACTGAGAGAGAGAGAGAGAGAGAGAGAGAGAGAGAGAGAGAGAGAGGGGGAGAAGGCTTTAATAAACGCCACATCGTTTCTGAGATTTTCATAATGAACTAATCCCCACGACCACACCTTCTATGACAAAGAATATAATCAATTTAAACATCTCAACAAAGCGAGAATTGAAACTGTCTAAGCCGATGTGAAGACCTGATAGAAGGGCAAAAGCATTAATGACATTTCAGAGATAGAGAGAGCCATGTCAAAATCTTGATTAATGATAACTCATTATTTCTTACAACAAAGATCATGTCTTGTCCAGAAATCATTGATACAAACAAGACGGTCATTCTTGTGAAACTTGATAAATGTATTTTTCCTTCTCATTTGTGTCTGAGCCTCGAAAGGAAAGATGACGACACAACATGGTAACTGTTCTATCTTTGAAGAAAAAGACTTATTGTCGTCTAGAACCCCATCTGTTCTTGTTGTACTGTGAATGATTAATCTTTCTTTTTTTCTCACAATAAATCGAATTTTTCACCTGTCCCTTTCAACTTCCTCTGCATGTCTTTCTATAATTGTTGATGCCAAATAAGAATACAAGAACAACCCAACTGGTAACGTTCTCACAGAAAGATGACATTAATTCCATTTATTGGATTAGATAAACGCGCAAAACGGTTTAACCTTCGTACAACCAAACGTTTCACCATGTTTACGCTGCCATCCATTCAGCTCCTCAACCCGGTAGAGTACATTTTACCGAGTATCTCGCTTTATCGCTCAAGCCTTATTTTACAACAAAACGTAATCCCCTTTGAGTCATTTAAGCTCGAATTGATACATTCTCGAACGCAAAGTATGAAGGAACTAAATTGGTCACTCTTATTTTTGTTTATTTGAGGATTTATACACAATACATGTCTAGACAATATATCTTTGAAAACATCCTTCCTATTAATTTTCTAGAGATCTATCATTCATTAACTTTACCATCTCTAATAAATCGTGATACTTTACATTGTTATTGCTTTATTGTAGGTCTAACTTGAAATCACCTCGTTTGACCTTTATCTTGACTCCCGTCTATTTTGTCCATCACAAGTTCGGAGACTTAACTGAATCTAGTAATCTGTGTAATGATGTAATACACTGTCAACATGGTCACTTGCATTGATCAGTTTTAATTGCAGCTGGAGAGTGCTCCTAAACAGTACGAGCATTGATACTGTTATCATTAAATACCGATTCATTTACAACTAAATCTAACCGTTACTTCCTGCTTTGTAGACATATTCTGGCTGAATTACCACTACCCGCCGAGGGTGGGGGAAGCGAGCATTGGTATATGGATGAAATGCAAGAGAGCAAAGCAACCGATTGGGAAGTGTGTAAGAGAGGGGTTCTGCGATTTCTTTTCTTTCTTCAAGCTCCCCTTGTCTACTCCCCTTTTGCTTCTCTCAATCTCTGTCACGTTCTCTCTTTCTCCCCTTTTCCGCCCATCTCATAGGCGGGGAGGAACGTGCCCTCAAAGCTACGAGATTGATCGGCCCATTTTTTTCCCCTCATCATTATTATACGTCTCAGAGTAGCCCCATCGTGCCCCTTCTACACGTCATCAAGACTTTCCTTTAGTTCTAGATCTAAAAGACACCATGACTATATCTTCCTCTATCCTTTGTTAGTGGTTTCCCTATTATTATCTTGTATCTATTTACCGAAATGTTTAGAGCTTCATTTTATGAGATCATCTCATTCCATGGGTGATTAGACGTTCCCACGGGACAGCTCTATCAATTTCTTTTTACAAACTTTTCCTTTCTTATCGTCGTCGTCTCACTGCGTTCATTTTAAACAGTGGCGTAGTTGCTGGGGACACGGGGGCAAATGCCCCTACCGAATAACGAAAGGGAGAAGAAGAAAAAAAGTTGAGAAAAGAGAGAGAAATGGAAATAGGGAGGACAAATATGGACTAAGTATGATATCTTTTTAAATTTGCATTTCATGTACAGAATAAGAACGGTTCCGCCCCGCCCCTACCTCATCCCATCCTGACGGTACCCCCCTACAATGGCTAGACCCAAGCTACGCCAATGCTTTCAATTGCAGTTTAGCCTTGCTTTAGATACAGGCATCCACCGAACCATAATCGGATAATAGTCATTTAAACTTATTAAATGTAAGTATACCATCAACTCATTAATGTCATCGGTATGTGAAAAGTGTGCGAGACTGTCATGACTCATGATGTATTTCGACCATAAAATTTAAATCTTATGTAATTTAATTTATACATTGTAATGTTCTTTCTTTTTTTCCGTTGTTATCTCATATATCACTCTACTTCTGTCTGTTTGTCTTGAACTGACCGACTGACTGACTGACCCCCTCCCCCTCTCTCTCTCTCTCTCTCTCTCTCTCTCTCTCTCTCTTTCTCTCTCTCTCTCTAACAAAATATGACGAGATGAATCAATGATATTGCAAAAAAGACAAATGGTGTCGGGCTTTTTTACACTGTAGCCTACTTACTTATAAATACTTCAAAAGTGTTTTTAATAATAAGTAAATGTATATTTATACCTAATAACTTCCCTGATACTCTCTTTCTCCCCCACACTATATATCTCGCTCGCTCTCTCTCTCTCTCTCTCTCTCTCTCTCTCTCTCTCTCTCTCTTCCCTCTCTCTCTCTCTCTCTCTCTATCTTTCTCTCTCTCTCTCTCTCTCTCTCTCTCTCTCTCTCTCTCTCTCTCTCTCTCGCTGTCTTGCTCTCATATCACATTACTTCCCATATTTACATTTTCCCTTCTTTTTTCTTCTATATTCTTATTCACTGAAACAGTTCATGGCTAAACCGGTATATCCAGGAATTGTGTCCATTTAAGTTTCTTCTAGGTGGGTTCATGGCTTAAAACGCTTCATCCTTAAATCTGTCAACCCAGAGTCCCTAAAAAACGATGATTTACAAATTCTTGACGCACTACCTTTTTGCGCTTGTCAAAATAATTTACGGATTGTCATAGAAGCTTAAGTTTTGTCTGGACACTAGATATACGGAGAGACGCCATCCTCACGTACTGCGTGTGTCTATAAACGACGAAAGTTTGGAGAAGAATCCGGTTTTCGTTTTAAAGGCCAAATTGGCCTTAAAATGACAATATCCAGTGAAATGTTATTCATTTGAATAATAATAATGAGATTATTGTGATATTGTTAGATGAACTTCGTAAAGTAAATATTAGGTACTTCAAGGAAATAATCGTTTACAATTAAAAAAAATAAAAAAACACAGAAGATGAATTGTGCACATAATTATAGAATGATCAGAGAAGAATTCAGTTTAACAAGAAAATAAGGATGAAGATGAACAGATAGATTAATGAGTTATGAAGAACAAGGATGCAATCAATATTTAAAACATAATACAGCTAAACAAAATGAATACAGACAGCATAGAAATAAAAATAAAACACAGAGGAGAAAGAAATTCAAACAAAAACCTTGTTAGTTTAATAATTCGAAGTAATTTGTTGTTGTTATAGGCAATAAATTATAATTCAAAGAAAATGGGAGCGTCTAACGGAGGAAATAAAAACCGATTAAATGGACGTGGAAGATGACGAAGAACCGAGATCATAAATTCTGGTGGAGATGATTGAGAGTCGCGTGGGAGTTGTCATTGAAATACGTGACATATGATGAATGTTGTTAGTTTTTAACTGGCGTCACTGACAATGTCCTGTAAATTATGATACACTCCATAAGGTATAGGGTTGAGGACATGGTTCATGGGGGAAAGACCGGGGTTGAACAGTTCGAAAACACTTTGCAGAGCGATATTCTCTTTATCTAAAGTGTAGGGATATTATAGAAGACCGTCTATAAAAGATCAGGCGGTACGAAGAGGCATGAGGATGAGAAGGGATGACAGAAGAAGGGGCAGGGAGGAGGTGGGAGGAGGAGGTAGATGGAGGAGGTGTGATGAAGGAGGAGGGGGAGGAGGAGGAGGGGAGGGAAGAGAGACGAAGGAGGAGAGAATGAAGAGAATAGAGAAGTGGAAGATTGGAGACAGCTTAGGAAGAGCAAGAAGAGAAGGAGAAGAGGAAAAAGAAAGTAAAATAGAAAGAGCGGGGCCCGTTCTCATATAAAGTTCCGATTGATCCGGATCAATCGCAAGTCCTCTAATCAATCGCAAGTTTGTAGTCCCCTGTCTCATATGTACATAGTTGTGATTTATACCAATCGTACTTTTTATAAGACAGGTCCCAGGAATATAAAAATAATAATGAGAAAGAGACGAAAGAAGAAAATTGTATGATGAAGGCAAATAAAAGGGAACGAAATGAGGGAAATAAAACAAAGAGAATAAAGGGCAAGATGATGGAAAAATTTAACAACAAATTTATCTTAAGAATATAGGACATTTCTGCATGCGCTTTCCAGGAAATCAAGAGATTGTGGGTATCACCAGAGAAAATGTATCAAATACATTATACATATAAACCTAAGCACTGTCTAGGTCGTTTAAGCTGCAAAAATGGAAAATATACGAGCATTACAAATCATCACGATCTTTACAATAGCGTGACGTGATCTGTTTCTTAAACCAATAACTGTAAAGGATACAGTATATGGTCGTCATTTTTACATCCATCTCTCTCTCTTTATGTAGTTATGAAATTCCACAGCGCTGAGGTAAGAAAGGCAAATTCTGGTGAGAAAAAGGAACTGTGTGTATATTTGGAGAGCTTAATAAAGTATAACTGTGGAATGCCATGTCATCCTGGTGAATTACAGGACAGGGATAGACAGAAAGAGAGGTAAGAGAGGATACCTGATCGAGTGAGCTATCAAAACAGGATTGTGTCGAAATCTTCCCAAAAACTTTCAGGCTCGCAAATTCTTCTCGTTTATCTTTAATGCCTTCTAAAAGCTAATCCTACCGAAAACTGGTGGGTCAGCCCAGACACGAATTCGGGTCTAAAGATTCTTCGATGTCAGTGACCCATATTTTCCATGACCAACCAAAACCTTAGCCAGGAGGGAAAAAGTTGTTCGAGTTATCAACATATTAAATCATTGCCATTTTGCAAGCGTTGGGGAGCGGAACAATAAATCTACCAATGCTTTGTTCGGTGAATGCGGTATTTCTTCGTAGAACTTTTACGCATGAACGTCAGCTGGCACTGGTGCCACAGACTGCCCTATACCCAAAATATGACGACGCAGAAATTATGGTAGTCATGGTTACGAGACGAATGATACCTAACATATTTCGAACATGGTTTGAAGCTTTATACGTTTTATGTTCTCAAACAAGATCTTATACAGGGCCTTTTTTATGCAACATCGATGAAAATTGTGTATGGAATTTGATCTTTTGAGCAATGCCTGTCAGAGAGTTCGTGAAATAGATATAACAGAAGTAACTGGGATTAGATACTTATGTAGATATATAAATAGATAGATAGATGGATGGATGGACTGATAAATAGATAGATGGATGGTATGGACAGACAGATAGATAGATAATAGATAGATACATAGATTGGTAGATAGATAGGTAGGTTGGTAGATAGATAGATAGATAGATAGATAGATAGATAGATTGGTAGATAGATAGGTAGGTTGGTAGATAGATAGATAGATAGATAGATAGATAGATAGATAGATTGATAGATAGATAGATATAGATGGATAAATGAATAGATAGATAGGTGAATAGATAGCTAGAAAATGATGTAGATGGATAAAGAGAGAGACTATAATAATTACAGATTGAAAATTAGACCACAATGGCAAGCAATGGCTTAACAGAATGACGTCATTTCACGGATGATGATCTTAACGAGAGTAGGTTGTGGTATATATAAGTATAGCTGTCGAAGGAAATTGATGAAAAATCTATGTTTATTTTCACCACACAACTATTTTTTAAAGAAGGTATATGTAAAATTGTCGCCTTACGTATATAATCAGTAAGAAATCTGGTAGCTTGGAGGATCACTAAAGCCCTGTAACATCACGGTCATGATGGTAAGATTATTCCACATAGATTAGAGATGGTGCACACATTGTTTGCGAGAAGGAATCCTATGACCACGATACTACTGTTAAGCATGTTGAGACCTTATATCATTATTATCATAATCATTCTTTATGATTTCTATCATCATTATAATTGTTATTGTTAACGTGATATCTTTTAAGAAAACAGATAGAACATGATCCCAAATAATATAGGCCTATTTTAGAAAAGGCAATTTCATAGGATTGTACATCACCTGTTGAAATATCCGAACATTTCAATAACGTATTACGTAATCTAAACTTGGTTTCGATTGGAAATACAAGAAGTTATGGACATTCCCCTTGAATTGATTTCTCGAAAGTCTTTGTGATCGCATCATAGGAAAATTAAACTGAAATGGTCGTCACTCACCATGTCTAATGACTTTGATGAAAGAGTTGTGCATGGTGGTACAATTCCATCGATGATGCCTCAGCTGGAACTGACATTCCAACATCCCGAGCTTCGTTCCACGTACGACCTCCTGGACGATCTCGGGTTCACGGAGGCAGATGTCTCGCTGCTTGCTGCTACCACGGAGCTTCCGTGATCGTCGACAGATTCGATTAGGGTCGAAGTTCAATGGACTTCCTACAGCCCTGAAGGAAATAGATAACGAGAGACAGAGGAGGTAATACATTTGAAATACGATCTGAAAGATACTAAGATTGTTCTTTATTAAACACATATGTTTTTAAAGTTTTTATAGAAGTAACCCAAAACCTTTTTGAATGTGTATGTTATCTACAAATTACAAATAACATTTCACTTTAATCCTTTGAATTTAATTATTCTTTTTCAGCTCCTTCCCTGTTATTATGCCAATGGCAATCTTTTTCCCAGATTTTAATTTTATGATTACTTAGGGTGAATTTGGGAAATTGGCATTTTAACAATTTACGAATAATGTGCTTGAACCTCTGTGCCATCATCAGTTCCGATTATCATCATGGATTATATTACGAGGACAAGCGCATAGTGCCCGTTGAATTGTGTTACTTCAAATAAAATCTCCACATGTGTATTCTCTTGCCCGGCCTTAATGACATTGACCATCAATGTTTGACATTCCATACTTGTCTCTTCCCAAATGACCACCATAAAACCAGTTTTACAAACAAAAGATCTGACGTGTGTATCGCAAGGAAGTTACATAATCCTCCCATTCTCCCTATCCCAATCTAAAATTAGGAAATTCTTTTTCAAAAGGGGCAGTCGAAGAAGTCTATTTTCCTTGATGCCATACTCCAATAATGATAATCAATACCGTTGAAACTGGGCAAACATATTTCTTAATGCTGCAAGTGCGGAAGTTATTGCTGTTAAATAATAGTCTTACAGTTAAGCTGTAATTACATGTTTTTGTATTAGAACACAACTTGTGCCCGGTCATTAGATCTGAAGCAAGCGTTTTTGCTATTGCACATGAAGATTTTATTCAGTAACCCTAACACTCACCTTCTTCTTTTCATCTTAAAAGATTGAAAGGGCTGACAAGTCTTTTTTTTTTATTAATCTAAGATGGTTTCTAAGTTAAATCTTATTAATTTATTTATTTATTCAAATATGTTTATTCAGATAACAAGATCAGTTTCTATTCACTAGTTTACATCTTGGTCCTATTTTTCTTTTAAATGAGCTTATCAACATTAGTAAAAAATAAATAAATAAAAAAATATTGAATACATTAATAAGAAACAGACAGGAGAAATCAAGATACCACAACATATGAAAAATACAAGAAATAAAACGTAATTAAAATAATTAATTTTAAATATTACAAGCATATTATGACCTTAGATAAAACTTCATATTGATATCATAATATACAGTAACTACGGGAAAAGCAAGGCAGTCTAAGATGGTTTGCAAAATATTTCTTCGCTGTGACTATTATATATATCGGATGAGCAGGCAAGAAAGAACGAGAAGTTGAGAAGCAGGAAAGATGCTCCTAGTCCTATTCCCCTCTTCCTATTTTTTTCACGACGTTTTAATGACCACAAATTGGCTGCTGGATGCTCGGAAACAATGAAGAGGGGTGTCGTAAAACGGGACTATAAACGAGCCGCTTGTCCCGTCTTCGATGAGCTGTTAATTACTCATGGACGAATTATCTCTTTAATGACATATTCACAGCCTTTCAAAAGTCATGAGTCACTTTGAGAAAGCAATCACAATTTTCGACGGTTACGTAATTTATGCCCTCCCTATTGCCTCTACATAAAGTCATTCTCGGAGCAGTTACAGGACTACGTAGAGAATTAGGACACGTGTGTCGATTACAATAAAAAAAAAAAAGTGATTACTTTTGCATTTACGAAATGGGCCATATTTCATCAATCTTTTTATCGCTAACAGTATATGAAAATTGATAAGCTACTAAAATCCTTATATTTTATTGGCTATGGGCAGTTTTGTCCAATCTGTGACGGTTGTTTTAAACAAGTTTTATGTCAACTAAGTCTTGCTAAAGTACAAAGGATCTTTATTTCATTATGCATGAGTTACTCCATCAGAATATTTGTATTTTACTCTAGTAAAATGTAAAATGTGTCTTTGTGAAGAACACTATAGTTGTAGCCAAGTATCATTCGTATTGCGTAATCATAGCATTTCCATATTTCCCTATACCACCCACAGATTTCATGATATTATGTAATACTTATTTTCTAAGTTGATTATACTTGTAAAACGATATATTTTCATAACAGTTGTTACAACCATAACTTCGCGTTCGATTTAGAAACGAACAAAGATTTGGATGTGAATTCCTTCGAGAAAGATTACTTTGTTGCGGATTTGTGATGAAATGGAACCAATTCCACTCTTGGAGACCTTTAACCCCTATCATAAAGACACGGTGGTTCATTTTTGATTATTACTTGGGGGTTCTCACACCTCCCTGAATGTAAAACGACTGCTCAAAAATGGAGAGGCATAATTTTTTTTCTCAATTACCCCCAACGTCATAAAGAGGCCGTTCCTAACAAAGGGGGAAATCAGGACTAGAGAATGCCAAGAAAGGACCGGGGCACAATGAAAACGATACCTTTTCAAAAATATTAGCAAATGTCAACTCTCACTCCTCAAAATCACTCTCCCATTTTGTAAAAAGTGACAAATGACTCGGGGCGAGCCGTCCACCGTGTACGGTTAACCTGTTTCAGTGGTTTAGCAGTAGTTTTTTTCCTTTCGGCTGGAGTAGGACTTTATCACACACACAAACGCCGAAGTTTTTGAACTTGAACTTCCAGCGTGCGTATGGGTGGTTTAAAGGTAAGATTACGGCCTTGCTTCTTCTTTGTGAGTAGGTGCTTGGTTGGATCATATTATAATGGAAAATAAATGCCCAGGGGTGATGATTAGCTTTGAAAATCATCAACGTTTTGGTGTGGAGACGGGCAGGAATGCGGGATCTATCTTTCATGCCGTCGACCGTGATAGTCCGAATGTTAGCATGTGATATAATGTTACCAAGTAATGAAGATGTATAGGCATACCTGACAATGCTTTACAATTTGATACATTAAGGTGATACAAGCCACCAATAAGAATAGCAACCTCCCTCACACTTTCCCAAAACTTAGCAGCTCGGACTTACAATCTGGCTGTGCGTGTAAAACGGGGAATTCCTGTTTAATATCATAAAAGAGATGCTGAATTATATTATGCGGCATACGATGTATCAATAAGTAATGTAAACTGTTCATCCACCAAAAGAGTTGAAAAGAGGACAATAAATATTGTTGTATCTATGATAAGACTAAAACACACCGAATATATGTTTTTCAACATGACATTTTAGGTAATAATGGCCAATTTTGTTTGTTTGCTAGCTCTGTCTTCTCACATTTGAAAAATGAACAATTAAAACCAACCGATGCAAACTTCAGTACAGTACTACTATCATCATCATGAAGATAATGAAACCTGTCTGAAACTTCCTAGCGTTATTTTAGAGCATTGAAAGATCGATGCATGCTCCATTCAACGACTTCAAATTTTCTCTTGAAATTTTAGTTACATTAGTTCAACATGAATCAAAGCGGAGACTTTCTTGTATACCTAAACATTCTTTGGTATCGTTATTATGTTGCAAAGAAACTATTAATAATCACATCTCTCAAATACTCTAATCATAATCATAAAGGAAAGTAGAGTCGTGGTTATCCTAAGAAACGGATTTCCTCGGTCAGTGTTGCCAATTTAGAGCAACAATCACATCACAATCACTTTGACCGACATATTACTCAGCGATAATGAGTTCAACATCACCTATTCATAAAATTGCAATTCAATTTCGACAATTTTTGCTCCTTTTTTCTAGGTGACAAAGAAATATAATCATATTCTGTCAACATGCGCGTAGGAGTGTAGAGTAGTTTCTTTTGTCTGTTCCTTTGTATATCATTTATATATATGCTTCGATCAGATTTTTATTAATTATTATTAATGGCATCAGCAGGTTGATTTAAAGAAAATGTCTGTTAATGCTGTTTTGAAAACAATTTCAGAATTGGAAGAGATGTGAAAGGGGTTAATAAAGAAGGAATGATGACAAGAGTGAAAGGGAGCAAGAGAGAGGTGGAATATAGAGAGGAGAGAGAAAGAGAAAGAGAAAGAGAGAGAGAGAGAGAGAGAGAGAGAAAAGGAGAAAAGAAGAGATGAAGAGAATACGAGACATAGCTAATAGTAATGAAATAATTATTCCGCCTTTTGCATCAATCATTCACGACGATCATGGTCTGTATGTACTTTTTTTCAAAACTATTAGCCTGGACGACTGTGTTTTTTAAAAATTAATTGCTAAACAGGGCCTCATGGAAGACCAACAAATTGTTTATATGTGCCACCCTCTATAAATATCAGAAATAAATAAATAAATAAATTTAACATGAGTTGAGGAGTTGTTGTCCTTCTATTTCAGCGTATTTTGACCTTCTCCCAAAGGTCTAATACAAAACGACAATATCAAATTGAGTAGGTTTCGAATGGTCACCATGTTTATCCTTTTCAATAGTTATCATGAAAGTCTAAACTATTGTAGGAAATGGAAATCCATATCTCATCACTATTCTATTAGTAAATATTATTCACCGCCATATTTCAAAATCATGTCTTTCACTTAACTGACTGAGTCACGTGGGAAAGGAAATCAATGGGCTTAAAGGTCCTACAGACCAGTGGAGACACAGATCATATCAAAATTACATTTCTCTGAAATAGATCTCAGTGATTATAGAGGGAAGAAGAAAAGTTTAAATAGGAAGTGAATACCATCGCATAAAGCATTAAATGACACATCGTTTTCATTGTTATAATTTTGTAATTTATATACAAGGGTTTATTTGAAATTATTATCTTCCATGAGACATTATAATGACCTCAGGAGAATATTGTTTCCGATGACGAATTTCGAATCATAAGGTAAATAATGTTTATGGCTATTAAAATGTTACTGCTTCGAACTTACGACCCACGTGATCGTCTTTATCAAAATTAATAACTAACAAAATAAAAAATAAAATGTTTTGGTGTTCCAAGAGGAGTATGTCGTATATAAAGAAAATACAAAAGTCATGTGTGACTGGTAAGAAAACTTAACATGTCCTATAGCTTCAAGACTACTTGAAGAAAGTACTTATTATTAGGGTCATTCTTCTATGACGATGCGTACATACTATATTATACTTGAGTGTTGAAAGATAATTGAAATTCAATTGTACTCCCGCCTTCAGCAATTCGGAAGGAGTGACGCGTGTATCGGGTAAAATCATGAGAAAATATAGTTTGTATCACTTGTGCTTCGACTCCTATGCACATACAATGCGTCTAGAATATATTTGTATACATTTAATCACAAAAGTCGACATCCAGAGAATAAATAAGTTCCATTTTCACTAATTTGCATGTTGCTATGCAATTTGAATTGTTAATGTTTTTATTTTAAACATGTATATACATATGCAATTCAGCATGTTACCTGAAAAACCATTTTTAATTGAAATGAATGGAATTGAGGGTGAAGGAAGACGTGAACTTACCACCAAAGACCAATGATGTGGGGTGGTAGAACGAGAAAGATGACGAGACCAATAGCTAAACGTGTCCACTCCATCTTGTAATACTCCAATAAATATCGTCCAGCGATTTAATAAGGAGCTTCACAAATCTCCAATTGTCTACTTTGCGCTTTATCTTCAAGCTTTGTCCTACCCTTCTCGCGGTTGCTGCATGGTATGTCGATTGGTGCCAAACGTAAAATGTTGGTACCCCTCCAAAATATCAAAAAGGATCTCTCATCGACGTGTTGGTAATATAGTTTGTTACAAGATAACGTTCGGAAAGAAAGTGAAGAAATGCTGGTGTCCTTTCACTCCAAAATTAGTTACACCCCGTGGTGGTGTGGAAATTTTTCTATATTTTCTCTTTTTGTTTTATTTTCTTTCAGATGAGGGGTAGGGGTTAAAGGTCAAAGGGGAAGATGCTCTTTTTGTGACCTTGTTAAACAAGGACCTTGATGGGGATCTTTTTACCACCTAGAGGTTTTTGCGGTTGGAATTAGATTTAGGTTTTTTGAACGGGAAGGGACGCCACCAAATTACGATGAGAAAGTTATGAACGGCGTTATTACTTGTCCTTTTTCCCCTATAGGCTATGTTAAAGTTTGTTGCAATCTTCTCTCCCCTCTCTCCCTTTCTGTCGGCCGTAATGAGTCGAAATCGGATAAGCCAATTCAGTGCTTACGCGTCCTTTCAGAGTTTATTGTAACGAATACATTGCACATCATTCAGTAATCCATTAATGTGTTTTATGTTCATTGAAGCAAACTGTATCGAATGATGGCTTCGGTTTATGACTGTGACGCATCAAGGTTGCAAAGTGGTCAAACTTCTTCGCAGGCACTGACCACACTACGCAATATCCCACAAGATTCAGCAAAAGAATTAGAACACATTGAGCCAGAAATTTAGGCAATTAATTGGAAAGCGTGTTAAACTAATCAAAATTAACAGTGGGTTGACGATATAACAAGAAAATGTAGTTTTGCACAAAAAAATGTAACCCTCGTCGTTCGCTGTTTCCACTGAGAGAAGTGAGCGTCAGATTTGATATGACTCCATAAAAAGTCAGGAAAAGAGAAAGGTGAAATGCTTTGCAATCCCAGTATCATTCCCTCCAGGCAAGCACGCATTTATTACCAAATTCTAAGTAATTCAATTTTTTAAAATTCAAATAACAGTTTGTTTCGTATTGCGTTTCAATCAACACCATTCTACTACCACAAACGAGGGGAGGAGCAACAAATTTCTCGCTATCAGTATATCACTGTGCCAAGTTTCACATGTGTTCAATGGAACCCACATAGAACAAACGGAACTCTACAACTTTAAGATGCACAATGTTAAGTGTTTCCTTTGTCCGGGGCCTGTAAAAGTTTTTTTCTAAGCAACGATCTGAATCTTCAAGAATGCCAGTAGAGATGAAAAGAAGATGTTATATGAAATTTGTTGCTACTTCAAACTGGAGCATAACTGTTTCATGAATATTGTTTTGTCAGATCTATTAACAAGTCCCTCCTCTTTCACAGAATACCCTCCGAGAAATCATTCGGTGAACAATAATGCAGACACCAGATTGATAAAAGAACCGAAGGAACTGAGATAGAATTTCTTATTTTTACTTTTTCATGGAACCATCACAAGCTTATATCTCTAGAGATGAACGATAATATCTCTTAGAATCAGTTCAGCAAGAAGCGCGTTCCAGCTTTGTTTCCAAACATAGATGAATCCATCCGCATAAGTTTGTATTATCGAAGTACTCGATTTGAAGCTTGTTCTTTTGTCGGGCCTTCCCCCAATGGAAGCTTTACTACACCATGTCGTTGAGAAGCAGGTAATTTTCACACTCAACAGGAGTACTGAGTGAATGGAAAGTGTATTTCTCAATGAAAAAATTGAAACAAAGTCCTGGCGGAATCGACGTTGAAGGCGACGTCGAACAAAACGTTGGTATCGCAGACGAATAAGACGCTGTATAGATGAGAAAACCCTCTCAGTAAAAACGGACAAACTAAATCCCAACAGATTCTGAAAACTTTGAATAGATGATCGGAAGTTGGAGACCACGTAAGGTTTCCCTCTCTGAAACTTTGAGATTCTGAGAATTTCTTAAAAGTTTGCCAAGCGAGATCGCGAATGCTAGTCCAAAGCTTTCAGTCTTGTTCACTCACGTGGAGAATGATTACCCAATTTAACACAAAAATCGTGATAAACCCTAGACGACTTGGTTGGCTAAACGAGCACTGTTATTAGACCTTAAAACGATATCTTTCTTTGTCGAATCTTGGTGTTTTAGTAACTGTCTTCAGTGTCTGGTGCTGGAAGCACTGATGACTTTGCGATTTGAACAATAGTATTTCCCTTCTCTTATTGATGTGACACCGTCTGCATGGTGGACCCTCTCACCTTCTCATGTTGTCGCTCAGATACGTCATCAATGTCTGCTCCTTTTTTTAGAGAGAGAAACTATTACATCTCTTTGATTTTCTTCCGAGTCAAATCCAGTCCCATCTATTCTCTGTATTGGTCCACAATGTCTGTAGACAATGCGAGCTAGTCCAAATCTCGATGATAGAACCCAACTATCTTAGCTTTACTCCACGAGTCCTTGCTTCTCAACTAAAGCCTTTGGAATCGGTGCGTCTAAGGACGATGGATTGTCCAGTTTATGGTCGTGGCTTCATGCCTATGCAAACCAGTCAAGCAAGATCTCTTTACCTTTATTGTTCCAATCGTAAACAAGATAAAAAAAAACAAGTCCCTTCCGGTAATATTTTCCTTCTTTAAACTAGGCCAGCGACTTATAGTATACTCGTCATGATTTTATGAGTTTCTCCCTAGAATTAGCTGTATGAAACAAAACTAAAAAAGAGAGACTTGGTATTGGGAGTAAAGAGGGTTTCGATTTTGTGATGATTTAGAGCTTGCAGCCGCCTGAGATGATTTACTTAGGGTAGAGAAAGGCACTCGCGACTGACTCCGGAAAATACTTGTGGAATGATTTAGGAGTATGTCTTCCACTGTACATCAGCACCACGAAGAAAAAAGTACTCAACAGGACTGGTACATCGTCAACATGCGAGCGAATTTATCATGAAATTCAGAAGAGTTAAAAGGATTTTATGAAAACACAATGTTCTAACAAAGAGTTATATACATCTCACCCATTTTTGTATTAGTTCCTAGATATTGTTAGGAAGAAAAAATGTTATATCTATATATTACATTTCTCTAGGTGCAATTTCTACAACATTATCACAATATTCAAGAACAAGCTGTTTGCCAGAAAATGTAACTCTTTCAATTGTCTATCTATATCTTTCTAACGGACTTTTCAATGAAAAGGGTAAATTAACGCATTGCATGATTCCAAGACCCCTGTAGCATAAAGACTTACAATAATGATGTAATCTCCCCCAAATCAAATTTTTCCCCTTCAAATGTAACTTTACAATAAATAGTAGCATACAATTAATTCGTGTTGTAGATACATATAATGCAAGGCAAGGTACAATGATACTTGCAGCAAAGGTTGGAGGTGCAATAGATTTTCTACCATTGACTTGAAGTCGGTTTTTATGTTACATCTATAGGGCCCTGTTCTAGTTTGTAAAGTTGGAAAGGAGATATAGATAGAGAGAGAGAGAGAGAGAGAGAGAGAGAGAGAGAGAGAGAGAGGGGGGGGAGAGAGAGAGAGAGAGAGAGAGGAAGAGGGAAGAAGGGGGAGGGATGTATATATATATATATATATATATATACCACCCAATCGCGTACGTGTGCATGGTATCCGCATTACGGAAGTGTGAACGCCTAGATACACAACTCAGTAAAACGTAGGTGACAGCGCGCGAAGTGACGTGAGCGACTAATTGCGTGACAGACTTGATGAGAGCAGGGCAATGAGTGTTACTAGGTGATGTGACAACTTGTCATTATAGATTTAATCATCCCTTACTTGTAGGGGTGAATGGCCTCCTCTGCATATCAATCCAAGTGCCCCAGCAGTGAATGGATAATCCTTGAACTTAGAAATCCTTAAATTGGTCATGACCAATATTTAATGAACGTTGATAAAAGGGTTATTGTATGTTATCAGTGCAAGTAAACTCAAATCGGGAAGGCATTTTAAAGGTCATCTCGAGTTCTGTCAAAGACATTAGAAAGTTGTGCAATTCGTATATTATGAGTGAGACAACTTAACATAAGAACTTGAACTTGAAGAAGAAAAAAAAATCTTATCAAAAGAGGAAAACTTTGAATTGATACACCTCACCTTAAGCAATATATTCGTAAAAAAACAATGATGATATTTATATCTAATGCTATTTTATTAAGCAACGAAGATTTTTAGAGATGTCAAAGTCAAGTGGTTTGAACACTTCGTTGGAAAGACAAAGGTCGTGGGTTCGATTCCCGGCATGGCACTAACGTCCTGCAAGATACTGCATTTGCCACTCCATAACCAGGAAAGAAATTACCTGGTATAGGATGGCGGATTTCATTGGCATCGCTATCACTAGATGCCTTCACGAATTATGGTAGGCACACGCGTAGGAAAGACCCACCAGGAGTGGAGATGGTGCACACATTGTGTCCCTGAACGAGTTTGGTGACACAGGTAATAATATCTATGAAGATTTTAGACACGTTATTTTATATCAAGCACTATACACATCCATTATAATTTTATGGGTATACGATTGTGGTTTCAATTGTTTTAATTCGCAGCAGTAAAAATAGTTTTTTTTTCTTCTTCTCATTATTGTTGTTGTTGTTCTTCTTCTTTTCCCCTTCCACCTCGTCCTCCTTCTTTTACTTTTATATCTTCTTCTTTTTCACCAAACCTACGGATAATTATCTTGAACATGACCTTGAAAGGATGAACTACCTTTTTATTCGAAGATGACACGTATTGTAGAGACAAACGATACTGTAACAGAGGATAAGAGAAGTCTGTCACGATTATTTTTCCAGATCAGTGCAGGCTTGATGAAAGTAGGGGAGAAGAGTCATGGAGGGGCGTTGCACTCTCAAGACAAGGGACAGAATCAGAGAAAGGGAGGAAGAGAACGAGAGGCGGTGAAGTAAACTATTACTGCTGCTGATGCTACCACTACCACTACTACTACTACTACTGCTACTAGCCTACTACTACTACTACTACTACTACTACTACTACTACTACTACTACTACTACTACTACTATTACTACTACTACTACTACTACTACTAATACTTCTACTACTACT